AACGCTCTAGATAACTTGCCCTCCCCAAAGGTGTTTGGATGGTTAGACAGCACCGTCGCACTTCATTGGATCAAGGGAAATGGTCAGTATAAACAGTTTGTCGTGAATCGAGTTGCCAAGATACAATTATACAAGGAGATCGAGTGGAGGTACGTTCCTATGGATGAAAACCCCGCAGACCTAGCGAGCAGAGGCGCTCTAGTTCACTCAGTACTTTGGCAACAGGGACCGGCGTGGCTCCAGGACAAGTCTGAGTGGCCAATCAACCCAGTCACTTGATCGTCACTAGCATCAGAAGTTGAAGCCAAAGTCATTAAGGAAGTGCTCAACCTAGCGCAAACCAAACCAGAACCAGACAAGTTCAAAGAACTCCTTGAACGCACCAGCTTGCGCCGAACCTTAAGAGTCGGCGCATGGATCAAGAGATTCATTCATAACTGCAAGAATAAAGAGAATAAACTTGGGCTCCTGCTTACAGAAGAAATAGAGGACGTACGTGGTTGGTGGATTAAGCGAGTCCAACGGCGAGACAAAGAAATTACCGGCTACCCTCAAATTAGCGAACAACTCAACCTGAAACCCAATGCAGAGGGAGTGATGACTTGCCACGGCCGGATACAAGGGCAAACTCCGATATACCTACCCAGCAGTGAAAGGTTTACAGAAAAACTGGTCCATCAAGTTCATTGCGAGACGCTGCATGGGGGAGTTGCTCTGACAATGGCCGCAGTAAGAGAGAGATACTGGGTACTGAAACTTCGTAGCTTGGTCAAATCAGTCCGAAGCAAGTGCTATGGTTGCAAGAGATTCAGTGCAACTCTGGCAAGGAACCCAATACCTGGTCAGTTACCGGAAGATCGAACCACAGTTGGCGGGGCATTTGAAGTCATCGGCTTAGATTTCGCTGGACCATTGAAGTACAAAGAGGGAAAGAAAAGTCAAGGAAACGCCTATCTGGCTATCTTCACTTGCAGTCTTTCAAGGGCTGTACATCTAGAGTCAATAGCCAGCCTGGAGACAGACAACTTTATCACTTGTCTCAAGCGGTTCATCGCCCGTCGCGGACGACCGGGTGTCATCTACTCAGACAATGGCGGTATCTTCATCAAAGCTGAGAAATGGCTACGGCAGTTACGAGACGATGAGCGTCTCCATGGTCTTCTAGAACAACACGAGATCAAATGGAAATTTAACTTGAGCCGCGCCCCTTGGTAGGGGGGTCAGTTTGAGAGACTAATTGGAGTCGTGAAAGCTTCCATGTACAAAGCAATTGGTGGCGCTACTCTAACCTGGTCTGAGCTCAGTGAGGTGCTACTCGACGTTGAAACCCAGGTTAATCGCCGTCCATTGAGCTATGTGGAAGATGACGTTGAGCTACCAATTTTAACGCCCGCGACCTTCTTGTACCAGCGAACAAACCATTTGCCGGAAGAGGAAACCTGGAGGATAACAGATCGAGACATCCGGAGATGTGCTAAGTATCTGCGAACCTGTAAGGACCAAATGTGGAGTTGCTGGCAGAGAGAATATCTTACAGCACTAAGAGAAAGACACAACCTGATGCACAGAGTGACCAAGTTCCAACCTAAAAAGGGAGATGTTGTCATTGTGAAAACCGACAACAAAAACTGTGGAACATGGCCTCTGGCCATAGTGAATGAAGTCTACCCGGGCAGCGATGGCGTCATACACACAGTCCAACTCAGAACCGCTAAAAGCATGCTGGAGCGTCCAGTACAACATTTGTACCCATTGGAACTCGAGTGTGACCTCTGCACTCCAGTGGCAGACCCGCTCTTAAACCCACAGGCTCAGGATTTCCGCCCTAGAAGAGATGCAGCAGCAGCAAGGTTGCGAATGAAACAAGTTGTGGATGCTGAACAGTGTGAACTATGAACAGGAAATCATACAAGTTGCGGGTGTTGAACAATGTGAAATTAGAACACTAAATCAGTTCGTGAAAACTGATCCATTAGCAGTAGAACATATCATTATTTGTTTTCAGAGAATCAGTAGACAGCCTGAACTGCGAACTTCAATTTGAAATCGTCAATAGGAAGTACAGTGACGTTGATCAAGGACTGATTATCGTTTTTTTACCGCTCATGTGATTCAAATAGCTCAAGATTCAAATTGTGTGATTGAAACATAAATTATCACATATGCTTTAATAGCGAACCATATGAGGGGAGTGTGTCAGAAACGTGTTGTTATCATATTGCGTGACAAATAGGACGTGGCCATTTTGACATGAATGTAAGCTGAACCAATAGATAAAATCAACAATCACCGGAAATTCCTGTGTGGCCAAACTATGAGCGATAAAAGAATAGGATCGAGTAGATTTACGAGCAGTTTTTTGTGACAGTGCGAGTGTCAGAGAGTTGTACCTGAGGTGATCGAATTGTGACTTTGAGAATAAAAACCTTAAAAACATTTTGTGAATTTTGGAGAGCACTGAAGTAGAGCGGACATTCTCCAAAATCGAGCCTAAATATCA